ACCATTAATCTAATTCTAATATTAAAGTCTTAATAAAACTTAACCACAAATCCTAATGTCGGAATCTCCTCAAACAATATTAGTATATATTTAATATTTTATGCCCTAATTTTTATTTGTTCTCCCTTATGTCCCGTATTTGGTTTCAACCATACCTATACAATTATTTTATTGACAATTATAATCAATCTTGACCATATTATCTTGCATTTGTAAATTTAGAATTACCTATTTAACCCGCACGGGCTTAACTCAATGGTTTAGTGGGTAGTATTTGAGAGAAGAGACCAAGGTTTGAACCTCGGCGGCGGCAGTGCGGGAATTATGTCCAAAGTGGGCAGATTCCTTGTGCGTATCAGCATTTGGCCCTGTCTGCTGAACCATTGAGTCACCGTGATTTACAACTTTCCACAATGCTCTGTCGGGTCGGAGTGTGGGGGGGAATTACCTATTTAAATACGCAAATTCAACCTTCAATTATGCATGAACAATTTCAATATAATCATGCCTTAATATACTTTAAAGTACTTATTTAAAAAAAAAAAAAAAAAAAACATTGGGCATTATCCCAATCGCGCAATGCGCGTAAAAAACTAGTACTAATATAAGAGCCCATGAGAGTTAGACCTATAATGGGTAGAAAAAATGGCGGTCAAATTTTTTAATTAAATGAATGGCTCAAATTGATCATATTCTAATTTTTCCTTGAGATTTCCTAATTTATCCTTAATTTTATGATTTTCTGTTAAATATTATCTTTTCCGTTAATTTCTGTTAATTCACCGTTAACTTACTCATTGATTTCAATAAGAAAGATCATAGGTTCGAACCTCATCCCAATCAAAATTGGCATAATTATTACTCTATTTTACTCTTATTAAATTAAATACTAATTTAGTAGGCACAACAAAAAATAATACATATGCACTTCTTTAATTTAGAATTATGTGTCTACACTGCCTTTATTTTAAAAAAAAAAATATTCATTATCAATAAATTAAATAAGAGAAATAACCAGGACTATGTGGTCCAATGGTACTCGGGTTGAACTTCCATTTGGAAGGTTGTAAGTTCGAGCCTCAGTGGAGGTGTTTTTAGCTCTTTGTGTTTCAGTAGGTTGAGAAAGTATATGAACAGATACTACAATGTAATAGAGCTAGTAGCATTCAAAAAAAAATAAGAGAAATAATTTCATTAGTTATATTTTCTTTATTTTTCTCCAATATAAAAATTCTTTACATTCAAATTCATCAATTGATTATATTCACTACATTGTCCCTACAATGTCTTTATTCAAAAAAAATTTATTCATTATCAATAAATTAGTTAAAAGAAATAATTTCATTAGTTATATTGTCTTTATTTTTTCTCCAATGTAAAAAATATTATTTACATTCAAATTCATCAATTGATTATATTCACTACATTGTCTATTATTTTTTTTGTGCAGTGTTTTTTTTATTAAATATCAAAGTTATAATACAAATAATGTTATATATTTATTTACCAAGTATTTTATTAATACCATGAAAAAATTAAAAAATATATAATTAAGCCAATCATATTAACTACTTGAGAGATTTGTTGACAAAGAGAGTATTCAAATCACACATCAAATTGAAGTGGGAAACTACCTCGCAATGTCCTTGTTTGACAATCAGCAGTGGACGAATTATATTCGCGAATTTGACCAGCGAATTATATCAACCGTTGGTAAAAATATATTTGAAAAAATTAACTGTTTAGATTAGCATGTAACATGACCTAATGGTATGATGATGATGATGATGATGATGATGATGATGATGATATAGGATTCATTCATTGATATTGTATATATGTGCATTCATTAAATATATTAGAACCCTTTGCAACAAAAATACTTGATAATTATTTTAAAAAAAAAAGTTTCGTAACAATTATAATGAATATCATATATTACATTGTATTCATATATTATGAGTTACATATTTAAATAAACAAATTCGACATTAAATTACTTATGTATAAACTTCTCATATATAATCTTGAATTGATATATTGTTAAATATTTATTTAATTATAAATATTGGGCATTATCACAATCGCGCAATGCGCGTAAAAAACTAGTATATTACTAAGATTGATATTAACTTACTTTTTTAATTGTATTAAAAAAAAAACTTACTTTTATAATTAAGAAACTAAAATATTTTGGATCAATAGAATGAAGAGGGTAACCCAAATAACAACATTAGTTGCTGCACCTCATCACAACAATTCCCCTAGGACACGAAATCTGGAATGATCTTCATACAAGGCACACATAACACCAGGAGAAAGTTCCTCTATATCACTCTAATTTGTTCTGCTAGATAACCGCTAGGGATGATAATTTCAATCTGTTCCATTAATATCAGGTCAAATTCAAATTTTATGTATAAAATCCGCTAAAACCCCACTTGACCGACTGTGTGTTTACTAGTACTATAACTTTTTATAACTTTTAGTTCTAAAGTAATAAGTTTATTTTTTAAAATCTAACAATTTAGTTATTATATTTGAATATTTTTATTATTTTATATTTTAATATAACGGGAGAGAAAAAGGTGGACTTGTCGGAGAAGAAGAAAAGATGTGTGAAACGACCAAAATATCCTCATTATTTTAACTATTAAAATTTTTCAGCGAAATTTGGTCGGCAATTTCGCCGGAGTAACTAAAATTGACAAAAATTGTATAGTTAAGGTACTAAATTGACATTTTTGAAAGTCAGAGACTGAAATTAACAAGACCCCTATAGTCATATGACCAAAATTGAAATTTTCTCATAATATAATAAGTAGTGAGTACGGTACTCGTAGTAGGTACCCACACTTAATGGGGTGAGGTAGATTTTGAAAAAAGTCCACCCGATACGAATTGGGGATGGGATGGGTGAAGAAAATATAAAATGAGTCGGTTATGAATGTAACTTTCCCCGACTCACCCCGACCCATTATCATCTCTAATAACTATGGTACTAGTCAAAACATCATTAACAATGGATTCTGCTCACGGTAAATTAATATGGAGTTAAGAACAAAAGTGCTATTAAATCTATTGTTAATCCTTTTAACACTAGCCACCAATTCATTTTCCAATTGATTGCCTTTTTTTTTTGGAAAGGTGATTGACTTATTATTTTAGTAGTCTTAAAAAAAAAGTGATTAAATTCCACTCTTTAATGCCTTCTAGAAAGTAGATCGAAACCATACTTCCTACTTCCACCTTCTCATAAACGCTTAAAAAAAATAAAGTGATTAAATTCCACTCTGAATGGCTTCTAGAAAGTAGAAATTAAACCATACTTCCTACTTCCACTACCTTCTCATAAACTCTATCCAATATTCTTTTTGTCATTTTTAATTAATGAAAAGACATCGTGAAAATTTACGTACGTCGTAAGACAAAATAATGAAACGTTGATAAATAACAGGCCACCAAACTTGGGGATCACAATATCCTATATTATAACATTATTATTTGTTAAATTTAAAAATACTCACCAGCGGGAGCTACCTCTTAAAGTGAGGGGGTTCCTTATGCGCAGTGAGCAAAAGTCTAGCCTCTATGATTTATACTCAGTTGAGTTACCATGATTTACATCTTCTCAAATGCTCAGTCGTGTCAGAGTGTAGGGGACTCATTATTACGATGGATGTACAATTATACGTTAATATTGTTGATCATATAATATCTAAAACATAAATATATAGATTAATTTAGTTTTTGAGTAGGTCTCTTATGAACTGTCTCATAGATCCTTATTCGTAAAAGTGTAAAATGGGTAGGGCCAATATTAAAATGTAAGATTTATGTTGGAAAATTTAAGAATAAATTATTTGTTACTTATAAGGAAAAGTATAATACACTTGAAAAAGTGTAATATTAATTAGGGATAAATTAATTAATTCTTACCAGGTCTATGTGGTCTAATGGTATCCGGGTTGGACTTTCATTTGGAAGGTTGTGAGTTTGAGCCTCTTTGTGTTTCAGTAGGTTGAGAAAGTATATGAATAGATACTATACATTGTAATAGAGCTAATAACATTTAAAAAAAATTATTTAATTCTTACTTATGAAATAAAATGTAATACTTATTAGTTAAAATATGATACTTTTGATTTAAAATATAATATAATATTTTTAAATCAAAATATAATATTTAAAATGAGATGGCCAACCACCGCTATCTTAATTTGACGAGACAACCCACGACTTGTATTTTGAAGCACGTTTCCAAAAGCAGTTCACCAACTTAATGCACCAAAAGTTTGCCGTTTCGCAACCGGCTTGGTCTAATCTCCACACAACTAAGTCCACCATCACATTTTAATCTATTACAAAGCGTTTGATTAGAAAGAATGAATTAAAAGGGAAAGAAATTATAATTCAGTGAAAAAGAATAAAATGTGAGTTAAGGATGAATAGAATTATTATGAATGAGAAATGAAGAAGTGGTATAAAAATTAAAATATCTTTATGTAATAATAATACATAGGTGAAAGAATCTTTTTCTTTCATCCTCGTTAAATTACCATTTATATCCTCAACTGAGATTCAAACCTATCACCTCCCACTTACGAGAGCAACCGGATACCAATGGACCACAAGCCACTTGATACCAAATAACTCATTAACGTTATATATTTTGTGCATAAAATGATCACAAACCTTCCTCACAATAACACCTTTTTTACTTAAGAATTGATTGGGCAACTCACCATGAGATCCAAAATCCAAAACACTGATTAAAAATTTAAAAGTAACAAAAATTCCTTGTACGCGGAGTATAAAAGCATAAGTGGAGACTAAGAAATGATTGAGCAACTCACTAGAAGTTAGGTGGTTTAAGATTAGTCTCGTGTAAATTCAAAAACTCAATACATCAAGAAAAAAAAATTACTCGAAAATAACCGATTGAGTAAATAGAACACAATACTCTATCTTACTGGCACTCTCTTAACCAAGCCAAAACATAATCAAACGAGAGATAGGACATTTATTTTTCATTATGTTTAGTATAGTACTGTATGTGTGGCATTATTGCCATGTAAAAGGATGACTTATACAACATTATATAAGCTCCTAAAAGAGAAAACAAAAACACAACACACAAACATCATTACTTTGAGGTTTCCAGCAACAGGGCAAGCTTCTTAGATCAGTCTTGGTTATGTCACAAGACTGTTCTTCTACCTGCTGCAAAACATAATTAATCTTCTGTTTGTTTTTTCGGTTTAACATGCTTTTCGACTGTTCATCTTCGGTTGTATAATTCTGTCTTTAGACTTTAGGGGTTGTTCTCCGCGAAAATATCCAAAAGAGATAGGGTCTGCATTATCAAGAAACAAGCATTCATCAAGCTAAGTTATTAGGTTGAATGGTAAAAAAAAACAAAGACTATGCAGAGATATGTATGTATGGTTTGTTAAAAAGATTTAGCTTTTTGAGAAAATAAATTATACCAAACAGCTATCAGCTAACACTAATTTACCAAAAGCCTTTCTACAATCCGCTAATGTTATCAATTAGTTATACCCTCTAAGTAACCCAATCAGCTAACAGCTAACCGCTAACAACCATTTACCAAACCGGGCTAGTAAAAGATGTATTACCTCAGGAATGTTTAACTCAAGGCGGAATTTAGGTCCGTCGTAGTGGTGAAGAATAGGCCTGAAAGCATCCTCTTCGAGTGGTTCACACACTTTTCTCGTGACAACACGCACCTGCATTCAGAGCAATCCAAAGTTCAATCCACAAAACCTAACCGCAATGCCTTTAAAGTTCAAAATTTGATCCATTTTTCCTATCATACCTGAGCAGGGAAACGCGATTCACCAGGGTTCTTCTTGTCCTCCCAGGCCGAAGGATCAATGTTTGTGCCACCGAAGCTCGCTGCCTGAACAATTCAGTTTATTTGAGCAACACGAATCACGTTTACTGAGCACAAGGTGTTAAACCTTAAACCGGTACAATTAAAGAACATAGGATACCAACCTCAAAAATACCATGAAGCTGATGAGTTGAGTAGTTGTAGAGGAAAAGAGGCAATCCTGGTGTTATTTGCCTGACCGAATCGCGATAACGAGGTGGCAAGCCTGCAATTCGTGAAAGAAACATAAATTACACTTCAATTCTTACCAATCAATCTACCCATGATCCAATAATCCATCAATAAACAGAACTTGAATCCAGTTCTTAAGGCAAAATTGCTATTCCTCCTGCCATTACAGAAGGGGTTCAACACTCCAAAGACTTCTCCACTTAACCTAATGTTATAAATTGCTATCCCAATTCCCAAGTGAAATCAACTGCCTCTGAGTTCATTACTAGAACAATTTCCAGATCCAATCAAAAGATATTCTTGACTGGATTAGCTTCAAGTTATTTGAAAACATATATATACAATTTATCAGCAACATAATTCAAATTCAGAAAGGAAAATAAAAGGGTAAAATTCCCAGTCTAAACAAGATAGAAAGACAGAATTGTTAAGAATAAAGGAAAAGGGCACTGACCAAATAGCTGCCTTCTGAGATTTTCTTCCATGGTGTCATTGTTGCAGACAAAAATATATCCTCCAACCGTCTCGTTTCTGGGCAGAGCTTCTGAAGGCGGCAAAGTCTTGAACCTCTTATCAACTCCATTCTTGTCAGAAATATCTTTGTTAACATTCTTGTTCTTCTTCCCACATTTCTCATCTTCTAACCCAAACTTCCCACCCTTCTTGTTATTAATCCCTTTACTATTCACCACCGCCAGATTACCAGTACCCTTACTGTAAGAATTGAAGTTGACAGCAGGGGAAGGGTAAATCCCCTTGTTAAACCCGCCATTCAACCCGGATCCAAACACCTCCTTGGGAGCAGACCCAGAGAGAGAACTGACAGTTTGGGTGACCTTCCAGCCATCGTTGCCGAAGAGAGCGTAATCGGCGGCGTCAGAATTGACCTCCAAGTTCCTCCGCTCCTCGGGGCGCTTGGAGGAGTAGCTGGTGCTCCAGATGGAGTCGTTGAGGGAGAGATTGGTGAAGGTGCCCGGTTGCAGGCGGAGGCGGTCGCTGAAGTTCCTGAAAGATGATTGAGCGTTCTCCATTTCTGCAACAAGTTTCAGGCTTGAGTTCTTCTGTTGAGAGTTGAAGAAGAGAGAAAGAGAGAGAAAGAGAGAGAGATGAAGAAGTGAGAAATGAGAATGGGTGAACGTGTTGATGAGTGGCGTGTTGGGTGGGGTGTCAAAGAAGAGGTGAGGCTTTTATGGGGGACAATGCTGATTAAGTCGTTGGTTGTACTTTGATTTCATTGGAAACTGAGTTGTCATGTTTTTCATTTCTTCCCATACATAAATACATTAGTTAATTAATTTTTAATATTCTTTTGAGTTAATACAATATGAGATCTTTCGAGTATAGTAATTTTGTCACGTTTAGTCATAAATTTTTAAATTCACGTCCATCAAATTTTAAATTATTATCATTCGTGATCCAAACTAAACATTAATGGTCCTTCAACTATTAATTTGATATATTAATTTTTTGAGAAAATTAATTAACTATATATTACAAACATAACAATTAAATTATCTAAAGAATTAATTAAGATATTTAGTTGGTTTAAATTTTTTTTAAGTGTATAATATATATTTGAAATATACAAACATTAAAGAAAAACAAAACAAATAATTAAGAGTTTAATAAATTACTTGTAAAACAAATGTTGAGAGAGACATTTTCTTCAATAAATAATGTTGTTATCTTTGTAATGGTGAGAGATACAAATTTTTCATATTTATAAGAGATTATTATTTATTAACTTGTTACTATTAAAGATAAATACGTATTTGAATAAATTTAGTTGATCCTCAATTAGAGAAAGAATTCTGTGTGATATTTACTTTACTTTATATTATTCAATTAGATTCTCATTGATTTGAACTTGAGTAAAAAATTACACCAAACATGAAAATATTTTTTTTCCTATTTTAAATTTCCTAGAAAGTTCAAACTTTCATAACTTCAAAACACCCGCATGGGCAGCTCAACTGATCATAGAGGTGAAGTTTGAGAAGAATGACCAGAGATTGAGTCTCACCAGCCACAGTGTAGGAATAACCTCTCAAAGTAAGGGCTCAACTGGTCATAGGGGTGAAGTTTGGAAAGAATGACCCTCAAAGTAAGGGGCTCAACTGGTCATAGGGCTGAAGTTTGGGAAGAATGACCCGGAATCGAGTCTCACTGGACATAGGGGTGAAATTTTGGAAGAATGACCAGGGATCGAGACTCAGTCGAACCGGAGTGGGGGGATTCAATATTTTGGGAAGAACTTTCTTAACTTCAATTCGAAACACCCTCTAACAGCATTCGTTAACTATCCTAAATGCCCAAATTAAACTATTTGGTTCAAATTTTGTTTTCCTTTTAAGTAATCACATAATTTCTTATAAAAAGATATATATTATATTCCCCTCTAAAACTTATCTCATAATGTTTAATTATTTTTTAAGTGTTAATAAATTCTTTTTTTATATTCATTGACTATTCATTATTCATTGACTTTTCGTGAGTCAAAAAAAATTAAAAAGAAAAAAAAAACCATTTAAGTAATGTTATTATATTTATGAATTAATTAAACATACTAACAATTAAATACGTTATCATAAAAGGACTCTCAAAGATTTTATGTGATATTTTGTAAAAAGAAAACGTTGATGTTTTATAATTATAAGTTATTATTGGGATGAAGAATTAATGATTTTTGGGTCTCTTTTTATTTGATAAGTTTTTTAAGGAGAGTTATAATACAAAATAAATAAATAAAAAGAATAAAAAAACAAGTGATTTTTTATAAAATTGTGAATGATTTAGGGGGATAATGAGGGAGATATTTAGTAAATGGAAATTGTGAGGAAAAGGGTTTTTATCTAGAAGCCCTTACTAAATTTAGGTAGTATAGTTTGCATTATTATTGATGGAATTCAAAGAAAGGAAAGAGACGAGGATCACAAGTCGAATATGGGTGATGTTTTGCTTAGTTGCTAAGGTAAGCGTCAAACTCGTGAAGTCGTGAGCCCTGACCTGGCATTCCACGTGTCCAGTTTGCTGTCACGTGCCTACAGTAACCACTCATTATTCTGTCTCTCTTGGATTTTCATTTCTCCGTGGGCCTATAAAACTATTCTGGGCTTTCAAACACGGAAAGCTCTTCAATTTTTTTTTTTTTAAATAAAATTAAATTTTAATAATGATTGCACCGAATATCCACCGCCATTGTCCTATAATTTGAATGGAGGTAATAAATTACAAATTGTGTCTCATTGATCTATGTGTTTTCCAAAGTTCAAATTTTACGATATTATGCAATTCATTTAAGCACCAGCTAACTTGACTTTTATCTTTAGAAAAAAACTTGTGTGAGATTCGTGAGACGGATCAGGTCAAGATGAAATGTAATATTTATATTAATAAATGTAATATTAATTATGAATAAAATATTTGTTACATATAATGAAAAATGTAATACTTGTATATTTTGATGTAAAAGTATTATATTTTTCATTATCTTAACTATAATATAGCTATATGGTTTGGGAAGCAATTATTATATTGTAACAATAATTGCTCACCAAACCATATGGTTATATTATAGTTAAGAAATAATATGGTTATATAATAGTTAAGATTTATTTATTTACTTATTACACGGTGCATAAAAATTTAAATTAATATTAATTCATTTTCATCTCTCTTGCCTCATCCAATCCATCCAAAAACTCACAAATAAACTTCAATTGAGATTATTCTAATGATGTCAATCTTAAAAATTTAGTACATTGTATTTAATATTACAAATTTTTAAAAACTTAGTAAACTACAATAGTAATTGAATTACAATTTTCAGAGTCACCGCAGATCAAAATTTTTAGACCTTTGAGATTTCTAGAGTACTATTGTAGTTTACTAAGTCTTTAAAAATTTGTAATATTAAATACTATGTACTAAATTTTTAATATAGTTTAAAATTTGTAGTAATCACCCACCTTAATTATCAATTCTTATTTTAATTGTATATATATATTTATATATGTTCATAATTTTATCATAGCAATTCACACATAATTATTAAATAATAAAATTTTTATATATGAATAAACCTCAAATAGGGTATATTTTTATAACATATTTCCCGTGCATCGCACGGGACAAATACTAGTAAGTATTAAATAGAAAATATAATATTTTTGATGAAAAAAGTAATGCTTTTACATCAAAATGTAAAAGTAGTAATTTGTCTTCTTATATGGTAAATACGTATAAATAGCAGATTGGGTCGTAGATTAACCCTTTTATGGTCTATTTGTTGGTTTAAGTCCTTGAGTTCGGGTTGTGTGACAGTGGGTCAGAGGGTCCCAAACTTAATATAAATGTATAGAAGGTGCAAAAAATTCACATCTCTTGCATTTAATGCGATATTTATAGGATAGTAGGGGGAACACATGCCGAAAGTTCGGCATGTGCAACACGTGCTGCTCATGAACAGGGGCAGGTCGGAGGCTTTGCTAATTCCTCCATGTGTACCAAAGTTCCTGACGCCCTCGTTCTTGATGTGATCATGTTTGACTAAGGGAGAGTAGGTTTCGTTTTCTAAGTATAGAAGGTCGGGTGATTCGTCCCGACCTAAGATGGTCGGAGCGACCCCAAAGGCAGGAAACTACTGCCGCTAACTAAACCCTTGCTCGGTCCTTTATACCAGGTCAGGTCGATTACCTCCAAGGTTGGTAAATGCTCGGGAATAATTTCTCTCGGCAGCTCGTCCGGATACGGAGCAAGTACGCGATACGTACAGGTACTGGAGCCAGATAATATTCCCTATCATATATGTATGGGTGTATGGTAATAATGATCAAATCATCAATGTTAGAATTAAATACTAGCGGAGTTATAACCGTGTAAAGATAGTTTTGTCTAACAACAATGTAGTAGGGATAATTTTGTCCAATAAAATTAAAGTGTACGACATTTATGCTCCGTTTGGAAAGTAGGAAAATGTTTTCTGAAAAATGAGTCATTTTTCTCAAAACATTTTCCTTTCCGGTGTTTAGCTATACAAGGTAAAACTGTCTTTGTGTGTTTGGTTCGTTTTCCAGAAAATGAGCAAGAAAATGAAAAGAATTGAATACTTTAAAATTTTAATTATTTAATATTTTTGATAAAATCCTTCTTGAATAGCACTCATAAGCCGTATGGATAATTTTGAATATATATATATATATATATATATATATATATATATATATATATATATATATATATATATTATCTACAGTACACACACTATAGCTAGGGATGGCAAAATTATCCACACGACTTATGAGTGCTATTAATCTTACATCTTTCCCTAGAAATTGCAAACGGACATTTTGATCTTTATACTATTTATTCTTTTTCAATTTACATATATACCAAACACTATAATTAAAATTTCCAACAAAATTACAATTTCTTTCTCCTGATTTCTTCCTTGCAACTAAATGGCTAGTTAAATAATTAATTATTAATTTCAAAATGTAATCATGTATCTCCCTCCAAAAGACACCCTTGGTGTATTCCGAAGACAACGCCAGGCGAAGACAGTTGTAGCATTTTGTATTTGTGAAACAAAGAATGAGGATTGTCATTGCTGACAACGATGGCTAAGGGCTCATGACAAGGCCGGACAAAATGCACAACTTCAATACAAGTTTGAGGATTATAATAATTTATAAACGAGTTAATACCCAATATAAATTTCGACTATAGTGATTTTACTCAATGTAGTTTTAAAGGACTTTTTATATTTAATTTAGTCATCGACTTTAATGATTTTACACAATTTAGTCATTTGTTAAAAATTCTGTTAGTTGAGTGTTAGAAATACAATCCTAATGGTAATTTCTCATCATTCATCCCATTTTGGGATGCTTCCTTCTTCTTCCCTTTATTAAGATCCAAGCAGAAATGCAAATTTTTGTACCTAAATTAACTTTAACCCCAAATTTTAAAAAAAAAAATTGTAGGTAAATATTTATTTATTTAGGGTTGAAGTTGATTTGAGTACGAAGATTTGCATTTCTGCGTGGATATTAATAAGGTGAAGGAGATTAAATCATCCCAAAACGGGATGAAGGATGAGCGATTACCATTAGAACCCTATTTCTAACAGTCAACTAACAAAAATTTTAACAAAATGACTAAATTGTGTAAAATCATCAA